TGTAAATCTTCTTTTACATACATAAAGAAAGAAAGAAAGAAAGAAAGAAAGAAAACGTTTGGAAAGACACCAGGATGAGTAAAATTGACAGAATGACCAATCCATTTAATCTTTCTCTTAGACACCAATGAGGCTAAAAGGAGTATAAATTGATAGCCTACTTTTGCTTGATCTTCTGCTTCTAGTGAAACACCAGGTGATTTAATGCATCTCATCAACAATATCTCAAACTGTGCTCAGGTTTGGCAAGATACCAAACCTGAAAACATGATCTCAATGCACTAATATTTGTCATCAAATTCTATCCAGATGAAATTATGTGGGCTACCCGCATTTATGTTTATAGTTACTCAGCAATCGTCTCATTTATTTCTCCTAAGGAAACATCCGAGGCAAACTTCATATTTCAAAGAAAAAAAACGAAAGAGCAATATCTGAGCATTAAAAAAAGCAAAGTTATATTTATGTAGGATATACATGCTTTCATTTACTGTCAACCATCCATCCATTTTACCTTGATTTTAACATAACAGTGGGTTCCCAAGGACGTGTCATTCAGGCATGCAGGGGGTGTCTCACGAACCGTCCACTGAAAGGTTGTTGATGGTCGTAGGATTATATTCCAGCCAAGTTTGAGCAGCGCTACGCCCGTGCATAGCGCGCAATATCCATAGATGAGAGCCCAGTATCCCATAACTCTGATCTTCAGCGTCAGCCCGACTGTCAACAACAGCAAGTTATGAAGCAGTCTCGCCATCTTTACATTACTGCGGGAATACGCTTGTTGATCACGGCTTTTGTTGATTTGTTTACTCAACTGCCTGTGTTTCAAAAACGACGCGCATCTTAATAGCCCCGTCGGACCTTCAACGAGCGCATCCTGACCGGGGAGGATCCCTGTGTAGACGCCACAGAGTCACGCTTACGTATGACAGAAGAGATGCTCAGTCCCAAAGGTGTTCGCACCTCGGACTGAACCATTACAGCCCACCTACACCGACAAAACTAGAAGGCTCCCATTATAGTCCAGGCAGCTTTCTGGGGCTGGGCCCACCTCGTACTCGCAGACCGTCCACGCGCAGAGTTCTGGACTCTCGCGAACGCTGCCGGTAATAACTGCGTCGATCACGGGAGGGCTCGGGTTTCTGTCGCGATCGCAGTGTAGATGAGGTGTAGCTGTTATTGGATATTTTACCCTGGATACAACAATAAAATATACTGTGCCTCATGGTGCATTAAAATTATGATTTCCCGAGACCAGTGAGACCCTAAGCTCCGCCTAGAGCATATCGATATTCATAATGTACAGATTTATTAACTCATAGCTGGGAAACATAAATGATCATTAAAGACAAGGGGATTCAAATAACTTTTGGACGGAGGCATGTACATTTTATTAATTACAGCTCGATGATTATTTAAATAAATAGGATGACGAGGCTGCATATGGTGTCACTTAACATTCATTTTGAAATTTCTCAATTATATTTCAAAAATGAATATACCAACGTTTGTGATTTCATCTAATAGAATGTTTTGAATGAAACAAACCACCTAATGGCACAAAACATCACAGAATGGACGATAACTTAAGTTTCAGACAAACTTAAGTTCACTCATGTTCAAAAAGAATATAGCCTTGAAAACTAAAACGATTTTTATTTAACATTTCATCCATATACAATACCGTTCAGAAGTTTGGGTGGGCAAGATTTTAAAGTTTTTAATACAGTCTCTTACTAAGGCTGCATTTATATGATTAAAATATAGTAAAAACAGCAATATTGTGAAATATACAATTTATACAAATAACTCTTCTCTGTTTTAATATATTGTAATACGTAATTTATTCCTGTGATGGCAAAGCTAAAATTTCTGTAGTCTTCGGTGTCACATGATCCTTCGGAAATTATAATATGCTGATTTGGTGCTAAAAAATATTTCATGCCAAATTTTGAAGACTTAACATGATTCTTAACATGAAAAACACTGATTTGAAATATAAATTTTTGTAACACGAGTTACAGTAATGCCTTCAATGTAATTTTTGATCAATTTAATGTGCTAAATAAAAGCATTAATTTATTTAAAAACACCTTAAAGTTTAGTGTATACAGTGGTGTAAAAAAGTGTTGGCCCCCTTCCTGATTTCTTATGAAGAAAAACAAAATGAAGACTTTGGAGTGGCCTAGTCAAAGTCCTGACCTGAATCCTATTGAGATGCTGTGGCATGACCTTAAACAGGCGGTTCATGCTCTAAAACCCTCCAATGTGGCTGAATTACAACAATTCTGCATAGATGAGTGGACCAAAATTCCTCCACAGCGCTGTAACAGACTCATTGCAAGTTATCGCAAACGCTTGATTGCAGTTGTTGCTGCTAAGGGTGGCCCAACCAGTTATTAGGTTTAGGGGGCAAACACTTTTTCACACAGGGCCATGAAGGTTTTTATTATCAAGGCAAACAAAATCCAAAACTACATTTAAAAACTGCATGTTGTGTTCACTTGTGTTACCTTTTACTAATATTTAAATTTGTTTGATGATCTGAAACATTAACGTGTGACAAACATGCAAAAAAATAAGAAATCAGGAAGGGGGCCAACACTTTTTCACACCACTGTATATGATGGTGACATTCATATGTACTGTGTAACAAAAATGACCCGTTCAGCTTAATTGAAAGTGACCACAACACAGTTTACTGAAAATACTTTTATTGATTTAACTTTTAGAATGTGATTTCTTTGAAATAATGTATTGTTCTTCCACTCAATAGCATGTGACACCTCAGCATGGTGGTGTATTGAATAAAGTGCTTGTGATGAGAACTGCCACACAACCATTATAGTCAGAATTCAGTGCAGTACAATCACCAGATCACACCTTGGAATCAACACGGCTCTGGAGAACCCACTGGCTTTAGGCACAGAGAACTGCCTATCATCTCCAAGAGAGAAACTTTATGGCACTGCACTTCCAAATAGATACAAATAGAAATACAGGAAGTGCAATAACTCCTCTAAATAAGTCTGATTCTTCATAGGCGGACACTTGGGGAAAAAAAATGGCGGTCCTGTAACAAAATGCTAAATATTTATACACACATGCTTAGGTTACATTTCTGACACTACAGAAACATATATTTTTTTGATTTATATAAATTAAACGGGACAAGTTTAACGCAGTCAGCATATTTTCTGTTTAAATTGCTGCTTTACGTCAAATACATGAAATACCAGATAGTAGGATAAACAGGGACGGGGCCCTGCACAGGAATATCCCTTACAGTTCTGACAACAGCTAGCGCAAGAAGACCAGCTATGCAATATTCATACAGCAGAAGAGTCGATGGAATGTGTCAAAGAATCCGATTGCAACAATAATCAAGAAGTAAACATTCTTCAGCATTTAAAAAACAAAACACGCTAAGGAACACAAAAACTGCTGTGAAACGACAGACATGTTTCTCTTTCCAAACTGCCACAGACAATCGGCAGCGGCTGCCCTCGACTAAGGATTTTTCTGGTCGACTAGTAGTCGTTCATTTTAAGCATTAGTCGACTAATCGCACGTTTATTAATAAACCATTTAAATCATTATAATGAGCCTTTAATTGCATAGATAGCCTAATAAGCGCTCAAGCGCACGCATAAAGCCTGCCACAGCGCACCGCAGAAGCTATGATTATGAATGCGTCAAGGAAAAACAGTAAGGAGACTGCATTAACATTTTAATAATTTGATAAACTAGTGCTTTCTTTGTTTTCGGTTTAAGAGATGAAGTCGGCAACACTCACTCTTCATCTCCGTAGTGGACACGCCTGTTTGCATGTTTCATACGGATTACATGATCTGAGAATATTTGTTTTCATTTGAATTGGTTCATTTGAAAGTAGACATTTCACTCTCTCTCTCTATATAAATTTTTAATGTCTGTAAGGCAAAGATATACACACAGTTTCGTGCTCAAGTTCACAGAGACTGAGACGCCAGAAAGCGCATCCTGTTTGCTTTCATTATTTTACAAAAGCACAATGTTTTGTTGTTATTGTGAGTGCATACAAATAAACAGTTTTTACAGCAAGTTCACGGAGACCGAGACGGCAGAAAGCGCATCCTGTTTACTTTCATTATTTTACAAAAGCACAATGTTTTGTTGTTATTGTGAGTGCATACAAATAAACAGTTTTTACAGATTTGAAAGATGTATTACTCTTATCCGTGTGACCAAAAATGACAGAGTAGCCTATTTTAGGAATACGTGATCGCACCGGCGCCTCCATCTGTCCTGCAGTGAGAGCTACTGTTCAGCTTACACTGGTAAGAATAATAACAGTAACAATGTTTACTGTTGTTATTAATAAAACCACAATGTATATTATTTGTTATTAATGCTAATAAACAGCATAACATGCCAGAAAGCGCATCCTGTTTGCTTTCATTATTTTACAAAAGCACAATGTTTTGTTGTTATTGTGTGTGCATAATTTTTACAGATTTGAAAGATGTATTACTCTTATCCGTGTGACCAAAAATGACAGAGTAGCCTATTTTAGGAATACGTGATCGCACCGGCGCCTCCATCTGTCCTGCAGTGAGAGCTACTGTTCAGCTTACACTCTCCGCACAGACACTTGAACAGCACACATTTCTCTAGGTTAACATTAGATTGAGCGGCCATGTAAAGTTGCTAATACTTACACATTTCAGATGATAAGCCATATTTGAGGTCAATGAATGATAGGCGAGCGTTTGCCCGGTGTATAGGTCCTACTGTATTACCATAGACTAGCCGTTAGCGATCTGTTGGTCATGAACTGCGTGACTTCGCCTGTGGATCTTTTTATTTATTTTCTGCGACTAGGCGACTAATGAAATTTTGGTCGACTAAGCCTCTTCTGGTCGACTAACGATTAGTCGACTATTAGGGGGCAGCCCTAATAATTATTTAATAAAAATAAGTAACAATGTATGTGGTTATTATAAATCTAGAAGAACTTACAGAACCTAATTGGATAAACAGTTTTTAAATGCATTGGGATTGTTCACCCAAAGCATGTAAATGAAAATTCTGTCAATTACTCACCCTCATCGTTCCAAACCTGTAACATCTTCAGAACACAAATTTAGATATTGACCCTGCAAAGACAGCAACGGAACTACCACGTTCAAGGCCCAGAAAGGACATAAAAATAGTCCATGTGACAGTGGTTCAACTGTAATGTTACGAAGCTATGAGAATACTTTTTGTGCATAAAGGAAAAAATAACGACTTTATTCAACAATTTCTTCTCATCCACCAGTCTTCGACACGCATTCATGAGAGTCCCACGGCGCAAGTCATTATTTTAGTTTTCTTTGCGTACAAAAAGTATTCTCGTAGCTTCATAAAATAACGGTTAAACCACTGATGTCACACGGACTATTTTAACATTGTCCTTACTACCTTTCTGGGTCTTGAACGTGTCAGTTGCGTTGCTGTCTATGCAGGGTCAGAAAGTTTGGGATTTCATCAAAAAAATCTTAATTTGTGTTTGGAAGATGAACGAAGGTCTTACGGGTTTGGAACGACATGAGGGTGAGAAATGACAGAATTTTCATTTTTGGGTGAACTATCCCTTTAAATATCAACATTTTGAAGTTACTTTCTACAATACTTGGTGTGCAAAGTACTTACAGCCTCTCTCCTGCGGCGCTCCTGCTCTCTCTTGCGGGCCATCTCTCGTTCTCTGTCTACAGAGCTCTGTGGAAGAGAGGAGGGCTCAGGGGATTTGGGGGTATCCAAGATGGCTGCAATCAGAGGCAGCTCTGCTGACTCCAGCGGGCAGTCTAGCTTGGTTATTTGAAGCTGCTGCGTCAGACTAGAAATCATTAAAAGGCCACACTGTTAGCTAGATCAGCGAGCACAGTTGTATAATAATCAAATGTGGGCAATGGGGATATGACTGCAAATTAATAACAGAATAGAAACTTAGAATGCATTTGTCAAACTCGCTAGGTTTTGAAACCGAGCCATGGGAAGCTGTGGTCAGCTGGAATCATGTCTCCAGCCATGCAGAGATTGAAACTCCTCCAAAATGAAACTTACATAACACAGCTTTATACACTGTTGCCTTAAAAATAAGATTCTGTTTATACCCGCTTTTGTCTGTGCTGCTCTTCTCTCGACCAGCTTCCATCTGCAGTTTACGAGCTCTCTCTCGTTCCTCTTTCTCCATGGCAACTTTGCGAAACTGCTGGAAACTTTCCTTGGATGATTTGATTGGGCAAGGAGTTTGAGTAGCCATCTTCCCCAAGCTTGTCCAGGAGTCAGCATGCTTTAGGACAATATCCTTAAACACACGTGAACAGGTCCAGGTTATCGGAGAGAACATCAAAGAGTGCATTTTCCATTTCCTACCCATAAAGCATTGGTACCTTTTTAGGCAGGTTGGATTTGGCATCTTGAATAGGCTTGCATAGCTCACTGCCATCGTACTTAGCTCCTAGAAAACGTGAAGAATCCATTTCAAGAAAATTTCAAGAAACCATTGAGAAAAAGGAGAGGACTCCAGAGGAAAACGGCAGGAGAAATGCTGACCGTGCATTTTGTGCAGCTGAACGGAGGGCTCTTCCAGTGTCTCTGGGCAGCTCTGCTCATCCCTCATGTTGGTTAATGGACTCTCATGCAGAGGTGACAACAATTTACATTGCTGCAGAGAGAAAGCAAGTACAAAAAGTGATTTGTGTGTCACCAACAGCAACCAGGCCGAACACCATCCATCTGGATCCAAACCCTGAACTTTATATTATTTTTTTAAGGAGTTTAACAAACAAGAAGTTAACATTGAGTGAGTTTAGACACAATATTGTCTTTTTTTCCGTTTCTTCAATGAAAACCGTTCCACAAAAAAAGGTGAAGAAGAACAAATGTGCATCTCGAAGCAACACTGCAGTGTTTAGTTGTTGAATGAATGTTTTGAAGGAATCATTTGATTCAATGATGCATCCATAAAGACAGGCACTTGCTTTGTTTCTAAATGAATCAGCTTTTGTCTGTGCTGGTCTTCTCCGATCAGCTGCCACCTGCAGTTTACAAGCTCTCTCTCATTCCTCTTTCTCCATGGAGAAGTTGACCCATTATGATCAGTGATGCCACCCACACTGGATGTTGCGTGGCGTGAAAAATCCCCGACAGTAAACAGATGCCTCGTTCTATTTATGATGTACTCACACAAAGTTTAAATGATTTGCAACGGTCGCTTTGTCACGTTCGGTTTAGACACAATGAGTCAGTCTGCAGATTTGAGTTGACAGATTTCATCAGGGTTGCCAGGTTTTCACAACAAAACCCGCCTAATTGCTACTCAAAACTAGTCCAATTGCATTTCGAGGGGGGTTCCCCGGTAAAAATCACATTCTGGGGGGTAAAATACACGTTTATTTGATGGGGTTCCCCTGGTAAAATTCACATATTGGGGGCTAAATATTACGGTCAAGGATGCAAACTCATCATAGGAGAAAAAGGTGACAAAGACACGCATGACTCAGTTGTCGTCCACTACACGAGATGAAAAGATTGAATTTTGTGTCCCGATGACCATTGCTGTTTATGAATCCCCACAACACCTTACGTTAGGGGAGCTCCGATTGATCAGCTACCGATCATTACGGCTGATAATCACGTTGGGATGATTGATCGGCGGTCTCTAAAAAGGCCGATCTCAAAAAAACGATCTCAAGCTGATGACGCTGCCATGAGAGGTTTGGCATGACATGCAGCGGCACCGTCTCAGTCTCTGTCCGGCGCGGGTGAAAATTATAATGCTGAAAGTGAGGTACTCACCTTCATATTTCTTCATTAGATAACTTATAAAGTAATTTGAAAACATTGTGCGAGACGTAATTTCACAAACAGCGAGAGTGAATGACCCGAGGCAGTGTCACATAGTCACTAAAGTTGATAAATTGCATTACTTTTTAATTCTTGCCAGTGTTTAACCATTCAGTGCTCGAGCGCTCTCCTGGAGACCGTGCGCTCATGCACACTCGCACTCGCAGTGCACACACATAATGCCAGGTTCACATTACTCCCTTTGCAGTGCTATGTCAACGGATTAATAAAGCGCGCACACTGCACACCGTTGCTGTCCGGCAGTGCGTTTCACGTGCAGTGCGTCTGCAGCAGTACAGAGATGGTTTCCGCACGGAGTCTATTTTTGCTGTGCTGCAAGCGCTGAATTAAAGTAACGTGCAGTGTGAATGCTTTAATCCGTTAACATGAGCGCGGAAAAAATACGCACCACATACCACACACTGCAAACAGTAATGTGAACCTGGCATTATGTGTGAGTGCTGCAAGTGTGCATGAGCGCACGGTCTACAGGAAAGCGCCCGAGCGCTGAATGGTTAAACACTGGCAAGAATTAAAAAGTAAATGAAATTCAGGCCCTGAATAAATGTCTAAAAATCCTGATTGGAGTATCACTATAAATAGTTATAAATGATAAAAAGAAGGCTTTAAAAAGATCGTTATCGGTGATCGTTATCGGCAGATACTGCTTTCTGTGATCGGCGATCGGCCTCAAAAATCCTGATCGGAGCACCCCAACCTTACATCAAGCAGATCGTGCCAAAATCGTGCTAAAATCACAGTTTGAACTGGGCTTTAGTGATATATAGTGCTAGTTTATCAGGAAGTGACGATTTTGTTCTCTTTGACACATTGGATGGAAACGGCGCTTTATTCGTAAATGTATTATGTGATATTCCAGTTTTCCGCATAAGTTAAATTTGAATCTTTGGATGAAAAGTCTCCATCCAGTCGGAGGATATCAAACCTGTTTGATATGTTGAGCTGATTTTAGAACACATATCGTTTTTTCACACCTCCTAGGAACAAGTTACACGTTTTCCTCGTGAGTTTGTGATCAGAACAAATTTAACGTCTGGTAGTGTAATCCTCAGTTGTTTAGTGTATAATGGCCAGTTTTTCCTATGTGACTGAGTACAAAGTCAGTAAGAGTATGATGCCTAGTTTTTAAAACCGGTTCAAATTTTAATTTTGTAGTGTATTACAGCCTTAAATTGTGTAGTGTACTTTTAAGAAAGTGTTTGCAACAAACTATTCTAACAATCTATTTTAACTGACAACTTAATGGAATAAATTGAACAAGTTAGTCGTTTTGTATAGTTTTTCTCCATACAAAGACAAGTTTAGCAGAAATATAAATTACCTCAAACTGAGAGCTGGAGGTAGGCTGGCATCCTGTGACAGGCATGGCTGCAGGAGGTGAGGTCAGTGGTGACAGAAGAGGAGGAACACCTGCAAGATTGAGGGGAGGAAGAGAAAGAGAGATGGAGTTTACTTTGAATTGGTATCCTGTTTTACACAAGCATTAAAGCAGCACTATAAATGAGAGACAGCAATGACATGCAACTAACTCAAAACAAACCACCAGTTATGATGAACATACAATGTCAACCAACAATGGAAGGGAAAAGTTGCAGATGCACAATGTTAACAGAGCGAGGAACGGAGATCAGCGGGCGGCGGAGGTGACGCATCAAGCGACCTCTTACCTTCCTGCTCAGATTTAAGTGGAGGCTTCTCTGCAGCAGCAGGTGATGGGGGGCCAACCTGAGAGACCTGCAGGTCGAGTGAAGGACTACGGGGGAACGACGAGTCTGAAAGGAGTGAGGTTGGTGTGTGTGGGGAATTCGACCAGTGGGAAGATTTGAGTGGGGTGTTTGTGTTGTCTTTATAGGGGGAGGTGGCAGAAGTGTTACATAAAGGGTTGATGGCCTGGTCTGGAGGTAGGCTGAGCGGTAAAGGGGCAGTCCAGGTTTTACGAGGTAGTGGGGCAGCTTTGCCACTAGGTCTGGATGGCTGAGGAGGCAGCCGGCTGTGTAATGCTGTTGCAGGAGGAGGGTAGAGGGATGGAAAGAAAAGTGTTCAGGTGACAAATCAAAGCTGCCAACAACTATCTGTTCTCCAAATGCAGATTTTTAACGAGTAATAAAAAAAATCATTTTCATTTTTGGAGGTCATTTCATTTGTTTTGTACATCATGATGTGGCCACAGAAAACACATCAACGTGAACAAAAGTATGAACAATGGCACCGAGCCTAACCTGGGATTGCCATGATGATGTCCTCGGCAGGATGCCTTGCTTGTTGTGACGCAAACAGGTCTTTGGAGTCTGCCTCTGAGACTAGTGATGCTGGACGAGACTGGCACGTTATGACTGAGGCAGAAGAAGAGCCCTTTACCTCAGCAACGGCCTGCCGCGATGCCTGTTTGGGGAGGGGGACAAGGGGGCAATATTTCACTCAGGAAAAATCTGGCACTACATGAAGTGAAATGCTCCATGTGCCAAATATTAAAGGAGTGGGAATAGGCCAGTTAATACTGTTGTCTCTTATTGGCTTGTGTGATTTTTACCTTGTTTTTAATTTTGTGGGCATGGCCATGGGCTTTGCTTTGCTTCCTCTTAGCTTTCTGTTCTGTAAGACATGCACAATGCACACTGAGGTCATTTCACTTCAGTCATGACTGCGGGAAAGGCCAACTCCATCTCAAGGGCATTCCTGCTGGTTTACTCAGTTTATATTTTATTACTGGAGTTCAGATAAACTGTGTATGTAATTTAAGTACTATAAAGTGTCAGAATCACTGTAAAAAAAAAAAAAAAAAAAGAAATTCTAATTTCATTACAAGTGGTCAATTTTTTTCCCAAAGTAGTGTGCACAACTTGTGAAAGTGTTTTGTGACGCGAGTAAACAATGTGAATAATAAAGAGAAAAATGATGTGAAATGACAAAGCAAAGCGAAAGAAAACACAACACTTATCTTAACATACAACAGTTGTCTATGAAAATGTGTTTTATTCAAATCTCTGGGTGTTAAACACCAAGCTCAATGGGTAAGCTTTATACCCGTTTAGGTAAATAAAATTCACACATCTACAAAATATGCAACAGACTTTAAGCAGGACAAGTGGTTGCCTCTTATGACAGATTGTTTTGGTCCTACCTTCTATGTTCCAACTATAGTTTACAATCCAAGTACCTCACATACAACATATCGATGTATGCTTTTACAATCTATTGTAGATTACCATTACATATACATCTCTGCATAACCTCAAACAAGTACAAAAGGTGAAATTACAATGTAATGCAACAGGGGAACCACATAGTAATGATTCAAAGCAGCAGTTTAAAACGGACCAGCTGTAACTCTTAACAGGGACAATAGCATATGACCCATAAACTGCTGTGCTCTCAGGTATGTTTGGAGAAGGTCCAAATTGGAAACTGGCATTTCTTCTAAGCCCTTACCACTATTTTTAACTGGAAAGTGCTGTGAGTGTGAGTGTATAAAACAAAGAAAACCCCATACCAAGAGCCAGCTGGTCTTAAACTTGTCTTAAACTACAGCAACAACAAAGTGATTGTGATGAAACAAGAACAAAATATCAAACATTGGAAAACAACAAATAGATAATAGCATCCAACAAAAACTTCAGAAAAAGTGTGAGAGAGAAAAGGAGACAACTTATTATTTTACTAATTTAGAGCCAAAAGTGCACAATTTTCTTTATATTACAAAAATGATAAAAGACAAAAAGTGAACACAAAAAAGGAACAAACTCCATTTTTAATTGGGAAAATAAAAGTTGAACTGTGTCCAGAAGGTGTTAAGATGAAATAAGTGAAATTTTATAATGCTGGGGACGTGTCCGGGTAAGCTTTACAATTTTTGGTTTGATTTCTGCATCAGTGACCAGATTGATAGCAGGGGGGACAGACTGGCCTGAGACACAGTGAGTTAATAATAAAAGGGTTGGTGGGTAGGTGTGAAGCAGCTAACCTGAATCAGAGTCACAGCTATCAGAGGAGCTAGAGTCACTACTACTGCTGTCAGAGCTGGATGAGCTGCTGCTGCTGTCACTCAGACGAGACGGACGGCTCATGTCTTTAAACTCCCCTTCCGCTTCAACTGCACACAGAAGGGGAAACATATAGGTTTATACTGCATTTATATGACTACATAAAAAAAGAATGAACAAATAAATACCTATACTTACTTTTGGCCTTTTTATTATTTGATTCTCCATGTGTGTGTTGCAGCTCTTTGTCCATTTCCTTGATTTTAGACTTCTTCTGGAGCTTCTTTTCTAATAATGTAAAACGATCACAATAAATATAAGATACAAATTCTCCTTTTACACACCAATTTTGTAAGAGTTGTCGAGTATGTATCCAGTTTTTTTTTTTTAGATGATGGCAATTTTAAGCACTAATCGTGTTTAAGTTCTAAATAAATAATAAAAAAATAATATTTAATTAGTCTTTTAGGTAAAGCATACACATGAAAAAAAGAAAGAAAGAAAAAACCTTTATGAACACTTTCACAGTGAAGCAAAAATAATGTACTGCTATACTGCGGGTATTAAATTTTTTCCAGATAATGATGAAGTGTCCCCTGACTTGGCATATGTAGTTGTAGTATGAAAAACATATGCAAATATTTCAGATTTGCATGCCATTCAGTTGTATTACACAGGGTGTGAAAAGCTTTTAGTACTATCTTTCATATATATATATATATATATATAATGTACTTACTCTCAGTTTCTTTCAGTTTCTTTTGGAGGCAAGCGACAACATAGCACTCGAGAGCTCGAAGAGTTGAAGGTTTGAGAGTCTCAAAGTCGATCTCGATCTCCTCAGGGTCTGTGTCCCTGAGCAAGGGTTCTCGCGCCTTGATGATGTTCACTACTTTGCCAAGCTTGTCTCCAGGAAGCTTGTTAATGTCCAAACTCAGTTGCCGTTTCTCCTCATAAGACATGGGTAATGTATTCATCTCTTCCTCGGAGTCATATGCTCTGCTCTCCTTCCGCCTGAGAACAAAGTTGACGGAATTTTGATTTCTTTGAGAATTTGTCTTGACATAAAACATAAAATTCATTAGCCGCTGCAGGGAAATAACGAAAAAAATAACAAAGTCCAGTAAATGGTAAACGTGTTGGTACTACAAACCAGTGTGTGCATAATTAATATAGGGCTAGTACATTAAAATAACCTGACACACCAGTTTGCAATATCAGGCAGAAATGGGCATGATGTGCACCCACAAGCACCACACATTTTCTTACCCTGATGCCTTGCTGTTAGACCTCTTCTGTATTTTTGCCGGTTTCTTCATTTCTTCACCTTTTCGCTTACTGGACTCTCTCTCTTTCTTCCTCTTCTTCTTGGACTTTTCCCTTTTCTTTGGTTTCAAGAGAGGTGTCTGGGTCAGCAACTGCAGCTGCTCTCGTACTGCTTTCAGCTGGTGAGTAAAGACAGAAATGACATTATATAAGGGCACACATATAAATACTGTCAATCTATAGTTCAAAACTTAGCAAGCTATTTTTTCCACTGCCTACTGTACAAATGGGCAGCATCCAAACCCTCACAGCAGGCTGATTTTGAATGCTCATACTGACATAGAAGATTCGACTTAGCAACATGCTTAAGCACATCACCTATTAAGTTTACAGCACAACACTATAATAACACAACATTGTAATTGCACAGACTTAAAAGTCCTCCCAAGTATGTTAATAAAAGAGACCTCTCTCACTTCTTGGCAAAGAACATTCTGGAATTGTTTCCACTGCAAAGAATACATGCAATACTGCCATAAAATTTGCTGAAGGAGGCAGAGTCACCACATTGGGCGTGACTATGATGTTGTGACGGTTTTGGAACAGAGGATGTGTGTATGTTTGAGGGGACTCAAAAGTCTATATACAAGTCTTACCTGTTCCTCCAGGCTGGCAAGCCTCTGCACTCTCTCCTCTTCATCTTCTGTGTCTGAGGAGTTTTCTGATGGAGACGATGATTCGCTGTCACTGCTCTCAGAGCTGGACGGACTGTGTGCTCTCTCCTTCCTTACTCTGTTCTGACTAGAGGATGGTGCTGAATTCCTCGGCTCGTCAGGAATCTTGGAGAAGCGAAACTCAAAAACATCCTGGGTAAAAAATATTCCGCATTTACCCATAGGAAAATAAGACAAACAATGGATTTTAAAAGATGATCAAACCACCTAAAGACACACCTGAAGTTTTCTTGCCATGGCCACTACCTCATGGCCGGGTGGATTGTATTTGTAGCAGTTTGAGAACATGAGCCGCACATCTGAAGCGAATTGCAATGCATCGGTGTACTCACGAGCTTCTATCTTGTTCTATTAGAAAAAAATAAGCCCATTACATACAAAACAATAACAGTGAGCAAAGCTTATCCAGTAATATTAACACAACCATGGTACTCACTTTGATGGTACTCATATCCATAGGTTGGTGAATGATTTCATGATAATCAAGAAGGCCCAGTGCCTTAGCATCTACAGGCTTATAAAAGGGCCAGGCGTAAGCAGAATGCTTTTTGGCAAACATCTCTTTCAGGATGGCATTGCAGTATTTGAGTCTCTCTGAGAGTTTGGTCCTTCTGCCCACCTGATGTTGTGGTGGTGACTCAGGAAGGTCTTTACAGGGAGGTTTGATGGGTCGGCCGCTGCCTCGCCTGGAGAATAACTTAAGGACTTTTGGTTCTGTTACACAAGGGGACGACTCACAACTGGTGATGGAAGAGGCAGAAGGGGTCGTAGTATCTGCTTTTCTTTTCACACCATTTTTCAACTGAAAGAAAAGGTACATGCAGATTACAGTTAACTATAAAAAAATATATGCAATCCATGTTTTCCCCGTACTATTCCACCTTTAGAAAATACTATTTCCATAATTCAGTATGAGACAACTAAACAGCCCTTATCTTTGTCAAAGAGGCAAAACTACACTAATTAATCCATGGCAAACACTAGGGCCCAATCCCAATTCTATTTTATACCCCTTCCCCTACCCCTCCGCCTACCCCTTGTACCTTGAAACAGAGTGTCAAGGGGTAGGGGTGAAAATATTCCCCTAAGAATTGGGACACCACTACTATGCCGTCACACGTCGTCTAGCTCCTACAATACACACACCTATACTGATGTGCGGGTGTGCATTAGAGCCTTTAATTACCGTTCTATATTAATGCG